AACTTCAGTAATTTGAATTAGACTGCTAGTGAAATCTTTTTTTAGTGAAATAGAACGAAATAAATAGATTATATCGACCAATCTAGAATTGATTGGGTCAAGATTAATCTATTGGAGCTTAGTTTAATTGGGTTCGATTTTGACTCTTCAATGATTTCAAAATAAAAATAGGAATAAATTACAAGAATTATAATTAATTATTAACTGCAGTAGAATTAATTTATTAATTCGGGATATGTAACGCATGTGACAATAATATATGAAAGGATTCGATCCGGATTAGAACTAAAATGAAGAGTCCTTTTAGGAAAGAATAATACTTTTGAGATTATAATGTTTCCTTAACAAAGTCATATCCTGTAAATAGACATGGATTAATCTAGTTGTATATAATCCTATACATAATGGTTCACATAATGGTGACGTGGCATTCATCTACTTATTGATGTGTAAGTGTGAAAGTTGATTTAAAGGCAGGATCACATGCCACGTGTAATTATGTGAACCATTATATGAATGATTATACATGAATCTCTTATAAAGTTTTGATTGGTATTAAATATTAGGATTAATCTAGTTGTACATAACCCTCTACATAAAGGTTCACATAATGGTGACGTGGCAATCATCCACTTATTGATGTGTAAGTGTGAAAGTTGAATTAAAGGCAGGATCACATGCCACGTGTAATTATGTGAACCATTATGTGAATGGTTATGTACCTGTAGCATTACCCAATAGACATATATCTTGAGGTTTAATTGTTGGTTAATTCTTGTTGTGTCTGCGCACATAATTTCTTTCTCTACCGTTTTGAGTATTGAAAAAGAATTAAGTTAAATGAACAAAATGCTTGACATATGGATTGATCGACCCCTCACATTGCATGTGGGTCCCGATCTGAATTAAATAATGCCGACCTCCCCATGTGTGTGTGAGGTGTTATCCCCTATGTCAATCATTATGTTTGTGTAGTAAAACTCATTCAAAAACATTGTAGAAGCCGAAGCGCCTGAGAGTGAAATCAAAAGATCAATTGTGAAGGAATTTTTTATTTTTATTTTTTTGTAAAAGGACTATTTATCCAAAATGTCAGAGAGGAGGGATGATATTACAATAATATACATCAAAGATGATTTTGCTAATGGTGTGCATCATTTGAGATCATTGTCAACGATGCATTTCTGCCTATACTTGAGGTTGGGCTGTTAGCCATTCTTGATGGGATCCTTCTTGCACATGTGAGCTGCGAGCCTTGGACGATCAGAATATGGATAGAGGTAGATTCCACATGTGATGAAAATCTCTGGTCTATTCAGGCTACTATCAAACATCTACTTGTTTGTTGGATGTCCTTCGAGTAGTATTTTGTAAACAACATTATGATTATAATTCGCTTATTCAAGTGTTTTAATTTGAAATAACAATTAAAGTTCCATGATCATACAAGGTGTCACAAATTGTATGCTTGATGATTCAATTCAAGAATAGGGACACGCATGATCAAAATATAACGTTCACATTTACGTTGAACACTTTATGTTCATAAGATTGCATTGTTCATATCAGGATTTGTCTTTATCCAATAAGAACAATAATGTGTTTAGTGTATATTAAACATGACCTATAGGTGACTCATTTGTGACCACTAGGTATGAGACTTTACTCGATCATCAAACAAGTCTTGAGCGAGTAATGTACATTTGATTGTCGGTTCAAATTCTTAGAGTTGCCAATGCGCGAAGCTTTATCTAAATAATCGATCACTATACTTTAAAAATTAGGGCTAAACAGTTAGATATCATATACTTTGAGAACTTGTTAATCATTACAATAAGACAATCGTCACTTTGAGACATTCTCTATAGGCATTTGAACCTGAGCTCAGTAGATCGACAATGAGATCGTTGGACTCTGTGTTGTGATTTATTTACAACAGATTTACCTTATGAAAATAGGGTTCGGAAGGTGATAAAGTGTGTTTTTGCACACTTACTGAATGTCTAAATAAGTTTAATATTGATTAAATGAGCGAATTTCTATTCACAATTGTATAAATATTGCTTTTATAGAACAAAACCCCCAATTTAAGAAAAAATAAGCAAAATAAAGAGAAAATTGACTAAAAGTGCACAAAACATAAATTTAGGGACCAAGGTGTTAAGTGATGAAAGTTGAAAGACTTTGGATACAACTTACCGAGGGCATACCATTTCTTTGCTTCAAGAGTCTATCCAAGGGATTGGTTCTACCTATTGTCTTGTATTTTATTCTTTATTTTCTCTAAAAAAATTCCGTTTTATCACTTATATACAATGAGCTAAGTTCTTTAGGTTGGAATTTATGATGTAGCTTAACTTAACTTTAATAATTTCAATATTTGTTCTTTAATATTAAAGTACATTTTTATTTTTATTTACTAATGTATTTTATGCTATTCACTTATCTTTGAGTGATTTATGTAATCTTTGAGAGAATATTGTGCATTTTAGACAAATAATAAATACTCTAGGTTCTCGTAGGATACATAGACTTTTAACTCTAGATGACTCATTGAGTTATTTTAAAGAGTTAATGCAATTGATTGGATTTTAATCAACAAGTAGGTTAAACCAATTGATTATGGCTAATTTTGCTCGAGAGAAGTAATTAGTTAAAAATGAAAATTGTGTTTTAACTTACTATATGAGTAATTTGTTAATTTGCGTGTGGAGAAATTAATTAGGTAACAATTAAGTGAAATCCTTACTAGGTATTATAGATACACCCTTTATGTACACATTTCTTAAAAATTAGAGTTAGTCACATGATCACATTTCCCAAAAAGGGAGGCATCTAAAATAGAGAATAAGAGGGAAGATCTAAACGAAGAAGCTTTGACTAGATGGTGGAAGGCCATTAAATGTCTTCTAAGGTTATGATCTCTCTATCTTGAGTGAAAAAAAATAATAATAAAAAATCCAGTAACCTCAAAATTGATCCAAGATCTTTAATCTATTTGAATTTAATCTTGAAAGTGAAATCATTTTCCTCTTATGATTAAATCTAAATACCAACACTACTTTCATTCAACGGCAGGGCAAATTTTCATATTTATCATGAAGGAAACCCGATTTTTGATTCAATAGTTGTAGAGGGATGGTACCGATGCTCCTATCGGGAATATGATCATCTCATTTTGCCCCCGACAAATTTACACCCTTGTACAGATTAATAGATATGGGCATGTTCGATTGTGCTTAAAATTCAATTAAAATTGAAAATATAGTTGTTATTAGGTCTCACTCATCTAATAAAAGTCAAAACAATAACGGCTAGTTTTTCAATTTTAATCCGATTTTAATCTCTACCGAACATACCCATAATCTTTCCACGTGCAGATTTTTTTAGGCTTTATTGTCTTTCTTCGCATTTACACGAGGTAGTACCTCTTCACTTCATGGCTTCGAGTGGAGGTCAAGTTTATATATACTCATTATATTTTGAGCCTCATTTTATCAAAAATTCATTTTTTAAAAAACTCATTTTCAACCACACATTTTCTAATAAATAATTTTGCACGTAAATAGAAAACTTTTATTTTTTTATTTTTTAATTATACATTCTCCCATAAACACTTTCAAAATACATTTTCCCCCCAAAATGAGGCTTAAACAGCGGCTTATGTTTCATTTATCTCATTTTACTTCCTCCATTATGTCTAGCGGTGGCAAAAAAACTCGGAGCCTCGAACGGCTCGGGCTTCGCTCGAAAAAAGCCCAAGTCGGGCCCGACTCGAGCTCGGTGGAATCGAGCCCCACTTTGGGGAGTCGGCTCGAGCCTCGAGCCCAGGCGAGTCTCCTATTAAAAAAAAAATATTTTTTTTGAAGGCAGCCGACTCGGCTTGGCTCGGCCGGCTAAGGCTTGGGCCGAGCCTCATTTTTTTTGGCCGGGTTAGCTCGGCTTGACTCGGGCCAAAAAAAGCTCGCTCCAAAAGAGTTCGGGCTCGACTCGAACTTTTTTTTTTTCGGCTCGAGCTCGACTAGTTGACATCGCTAATTATGTCTTGATGGAGTTTAAAATAAGCAACCTATCTAAATTATATGAAAGTGTAATCACCCAATTAAACAAACTTGTTCGAATAAAAAAAATTATAACTAAAATTATAAAGTGATAGAAGGAGTACGAAATATGATTGCCTTTAACAATAGACTATCACTACGAACTCATTATAAGGAAATTATAGTACTTTCGAACACACTATTATTTTTTATTCTCGTTCAAGTAAAACGTTTAAATTTAACAATATTTAAATTTCTAAAACATTTTTATAATTCTAACCTTTATGTCTTATAATTTGTGCTTATAGATGTGTAATTTATGATAATCAGTATTCATTATTAGAAGTTGACATTTTTAAAACAAGTACTTACGAAACTCTTCTAATTCTTGTGCCCCTTGTTTGAACCCATTATTCTAAAACTTATTTTCTATCACACACTCGATAAAATAATTTGCATATAAACCTAAAATTACTCATTACTTTAATTCATACATTCTTCAAAAAAATACTATTACAAACCTATTTTTTGTGAGAAATGGGGCTCAAACAAGGGCAATGAATAAATCTTCCAATTTCATCTTGAGTGCTATTTTTTGGAAAGATGAGTTTAAAAATAGTGTTTTTTTTGGAGGATGTGATTGAAAAATAGAGAAAAATTTTATTTTATAGAAAAATGTGTGATTCAAATGAATTTTGGAAAAAAATGGATCTCAAACACGGACTATGTAAAATAAACGTAGAGTTTGGCCTCGCATTCCAATTTCCAAGCCTGAATTATGTTTGTATGACTTCATAAAACATAACCACCACACCACTAAATGACTCGACCAAAATGGTAGAAGAAAACCTTGAATATGCAAACAGCTTCAGCAAATATTTCTAAAAACAAACGATGAAGCATCAGAAGACGCGTAAGTTTCAAATTGTCCCACACGGACAGCATTAAAATACCGCTTTCTCAAACGCTCAAGCCAGCACCAGAGCCTTTGCGGCATTCAGAGAGCACATCCAAATAGAATTGACACTTGCTGATATCGCTTGCGTGATAGTTTAGGCACTGCAGCATCACAAGGACGGTTATAATTTGAACTAAAAACATCTAAGTGATTAATCTAACGACAAAAAAATATATGAACTTGATCATCTCTTTATGAAATAGGTGTTCAGAACATCTATATTGCGTTATTACAGTACTAAGAGTAAGAGATATAGTTGAATCGTAATCCCAACAACCAAAAAACAACCATAAGTATTTATCAGAAAGTTCAACAAAGTAAAAAAAAAAAAAAATTGATGAAAGAAAAACAAACTCACTCGGTCCTACTACCCATTTCTCATCTTTGTAATAACAAAACCCGGGAATATGAGAGACTAAATTAAAAGGAAGAAGCCTCCATATGTGCGTAAAACAAATCATACTCGAAAAAACAATTGAGATTTTAAATATCGAACAGTTCCCGATCTAAGTCCACCCTCACATCACATGATAAATTTACTAAAACCTAAAATAATTGAGCCATCACCACCATGCAAAAACATATGCTATGAAAATGAGTGAAGGCCATGTATAATCCACCAGAAATGCAATAAAAACCGTCAGATTAAGAAGAAACGTACATCTTGGAAGGCCTTAGATTGAACACCACATGCATCAGAGCCTCCAGTGGTATTCATTGTAGTGGCCTCAGCAGCAGAAGAAGGAGCAGGAGCAGGATCAGAGAAAGCCACTGACTCGTGTCTTATGGTCCGAGGCCCTAAAATAGAGTCTACTGCCCGATGGGCAATTGCACTTCATTGTAGAGGGATGGTACCGATGCTCATCTCATTTTGCCCCCGACAAATTCACACCCTTGTACAAATTAATAGATATGGGCATGTTCGATTGTGCTTAAAATCCAATTAAAATTGAAAATATAACTATTATTAGGTCTCACTCGTCTAATAAAAGTCAAAACAATAACGGATAATTTTTCAATTTTAATCTGATTTTAAATTTTAATCTCTACCGAACATACCCATAATCTTTCCATGTGCAGATTTTTTTAGGCTTTATTGTCTTTCTTCGCATTTACACGAGGTAGTACCTCTTCACTTCATGGCTTCGATTGGAGGTCAAGTTTATATATACTCGTTATATTTTGAGCCTCATTTTATCAAAAAATTCATTTTTTAAAAAACTCATTTTCAACCATACATTTTCTAATAAAATAATTTTGCACGTAAATAGAAAACTTTTATTTTTTAATTATACATTCTCCAAAAAACACTTTTAAAATACATTTTCCCCCCAAAATGAGGCTTAAACAGCGACTTATGTTTCATTTATCTCATTTTACTTCCTCCATTATGTCTAGCGGTGGCAAAAAAACTCGGAGGCTCGAACGGCTCGGGCTCGGCTCGAAAAAAGCCCGAGCCGGGCTTGGCTCGAGCTTGATGGAATCAAGCCCCACTATGGGGAGTTGGCTCGAGCCCGAGCGAGTCTCCTATTAAAAAAAATATATTTCTTTTGAAGGCAGCCGACTCGGCTCGGCCCGCTAAGGTTCGGGCCGAGCCTCATTTTTTTGGTCGGGCTGGCTCGGCTTGACTCGGGCCAAAAAAAGCTTGCTCCAAAAAAGTTCGGGCTCGACTCTTAACTTTTTTTTTTCGGCTCGAGCTCGGCTAATTGACATCGCTAATTATGTCTTGATGGAGTTTAAAATAAACAGCCTATCTAAATTATATAAAAGTGTAATCACCCAATTAAACAAACTTGTTCGAATAAAAAAAATTATAAAGTGATAGAAGGAGTACGAAATATGATTGCCTTTAACAATAGACTATCACTACGAACTCATAAGGAAATTATAGTACTTTCGAACACACTAGTATTTTTTATTCTCGTTCAAGTAAAACGTTTAAATTTAACAATATTTAAATTTCTAAAACATTTTTATAATTCTAACCTTTATGTCTTATAATTTGTGCTTATAGAAGTGTAATTTATGATAATGAGTATTCATTATTAGAAGTTGAAATTTTTAAAACAAGTACTTACGAAACTCTTCTAATTCTTGTGCCCCTTGTTTGAACCCGTTATTCTAAAACTTATTTTCTATCACACACTCGATAAAATAATTTGCATATAAACCTAAAATTACTCATTACTTTAATTCATACATTCTTCAAAAAAATACTATTACAAACCTGTTTTTTGTGATAAATGGGGCTCAAACAAGGGCAATGAATAAATCTTCCAATTTCATCTTAAATTCCTCACATTTAATCATTTGCTTACAAAGAATGAGACTAGGGCAATCTTTGAGTGCTATTTTTTGGAAAGATGAGTTTAAAAATAGTGTTTTTTTTGGAGGATGTGATTGAAAAATAGAGAAAAATTTTATTTTATAGAAAAATGTGTGATTCAAATGAATTTTGGAAAAAAATGGATCTCAAACACGGACTATGTAAAATAAACGTAGAGTTTGGCCTCGCATTCCAATTTCCAAGCCTGAATTATGTTTGTATGACTTCATAAAACATAACCACCACACCACTAAATGACTCGACCAAAATGGTAGAAGAAAACCTTGAATATGCAAACAGCTTCAGCAAATATTTCTAAAAACAAACGATGAAGCATCAGAAGACGCGTAAGTTTCAAATTGTCCCACACGGACAGCATTAAAATACCGCTTTCTCAAACGCTCAAGCCAGCACCAGAGCCTTTGCGGCATTCAGAGAGCACATCCAAATAGAATTGACACTTGCTGATATCGCTTGCGTGATAGTTTAGGCACTGCAGCATCACAAGGACAGTTATAATTTGAACTAAAAACATCTATGTGATTAATCTAACGACAAAAAAATATATCAACTTGATCATCTCTTTATGAAATAGGTGTTCAGAAAATCTATATTGCGTTATTACAGTACTAAGAGATACAGTTGAATGGTAATCCCAACAACCAAAAAACAACCATAAGTATTTATCAGAAAGTTTGTAGTAAAAAAAAAATTGATAAAAGAAAAACAAACTCACTCAGTCCTACTACCCATTTCTCATCTTTGTAATAACAAAACCCAGGAATATGAGAGACTATCAGCTTGTTTGGGAGAGATTTTTGGGGGAAGAATTGATTTTGAATAGTGATATGATGATAAATATGTGGTTGAAAAAGAAGAAAAAATTATTGATGTGATGAAAAATATTATTTTATAGATGGGAAACGTGTGGTTGAAAAAGAAGAAAAAATTATTGATGTGATGGAAAATATTATTTTATTGAAGAATGTGTGGTTGAAAATGAGAATTGATTTACTGTAGAAAAATCAAAATCACTCCCAAACAGGGCCTAAATTAAAAGGAAGAAGCCTCCATATGTGCGTAAAACAAATCATACTCGAAAAAACAATTGAAATTTTAAATATCGAACAGTTCCCGATCTAACACCACCCTCACATCACATGATAAATTTACTAAAACCTAAAATAATTGAGCCATCACCACCATGCAAAAACATATGCTATGAAAATGAGTAAAGGCCATGTATAATCCACCAGAAATGCAATAAAAACCGTCAGATTAAGAAGAAACGTACATCTTGGAAGGCCTTAGATTGAACACCACATGCATCAGAGCCTCCAGTGGTATTCATTGTAGTGGCCTCAGCAGCAGGAGAAGGAGCAGGAGCAGGATCAGAGAAAGCCACTGACTCGTGTCTTATGGTCCGAGGCCCTAAAATAGAGTCTACTGCCCGATGGGCAATTGCACTTCCACCACCAAAAGCCATACCTATCCATTAACATCAAGAATGGATGTCAACATTCAGAGTTCTGGTATCAAGCATAATATGTTATTGGTGCAGTTAATAATCCAAATCTGAAACATGTCACTAACCTTCAGCAACGACTGAACCAAGTCCTCCACCCACAGGTGCGCTCCTTAGTGGAGCTGGGGGAGGAGCTGGGGCTTGAACTGGAGCTGCAATATGAGGAATGCATCAATGGTCAATAAGTTAACAAGATAAATCAGTGTAACATGAATCTTGAACTTCGGATCATCGAGGGAAAACAATTTAAAATTGGACTTGAATTTCACAGATCCACAATCCCAAGAACATAAGAACAGAGCTATTGAAATTTGATTTACACATACATCACACTTCAAACATATCTTAGCAATGCTGAGACAGGCAATTATCATGGCATGCACTTTACACGTTCACGGTTAATCATCCATAGACGATAGTTATTAGACCTGACTTGACTGTAGACCTGTCTGTAGTTCCGATGGCCCAGAGGGAGGACATTACCATACCCAAATTAAAATTAAAAACATTTTAGAACATTAAAATGATGTACAATAAGTTCGAAAACTGAGGCATCATAAGTTATATATGTTTTGATCAAATTAATAGTATAATAGGAAATATAAACTGATATTTTTTTTTTCAAAATATAGCAATGTATTAAATAGTTTATGCTTCACTGTAACATATGATTTTCTGTTATATAGAAATTTAACTGTTGATCTATTCAACTCCGCACACGAGCTAGTGGAAAATGCCTCATTTTCATATTACAGGTCTAGTTGGAAACTCCACTTGTCCAATATAAGGCCTCAATTTATAGCACACATTCTCCATGGATTTTCCATTTTCTAACTTTTGTAATGTTTGATAGGCAAAATTTTTCCGGGAAAATATTTTCCAGCTTTCCACATTTTTGAGAAAAATAAATTATTGATGTTTTGGTGGGTAAATATTTTGCAATTGAAAAAAATTCTAGACACAATGGTAAAGTTTTTTTCACTTTCATTGACAATTTCCATGCAAAATAAAACCAAACGAATGATATTAGGTATGATTTTTTTTTTTCAACTTTTTTTTTTTTGGACAATTGGAACAAATTCCAAACCCAATGATAGAAAACATTATCATTTTAATTGACAATTTCCATAAAAAAAAAAGAAATCAAACGGACACCAAACTTTTAACATTTTTCATGAAAAATTATACCAATCAAATACATTTAATTACAATTCTCAGTAATATAATTTTTAGGCAAATCAATTCCCTGTAAAATATTTTTTTTCCACCCATTTTTTACATTTTTAATCAAACGGACTCCTAACTTTAAATTTTTTCCCAATCCCAAAAAATCTATTCACTCAACAAAACCCGGCCAGTTAACTTGCTAACCCAGATTTTCTTTGGTACAGGCCATCAGTACCAACTGGACCTGTCTGTTGGGACTGGTTGCCTGTTAATCCATCAGATTGACTGATCTAATCCTGGTTAATTGCTACAGAATAGACAGAAGACGTGTCCAAGTGAACTAGAAAAAGAATGAATAATTCTACTTGTACATCAAAAAATGTACATAAAGGTGTACACCCGGTGGAACACACCCCTATGTACATGGTGATGTACCAGTACCACTAGCAAAACCGAAAAAAAATGCGCACTTTATAATTAATTCATTTCATATAATAAACCCAAATCAGAGCTGCTCAAATTTTACCAGGCCTAGGAGTGCTAGCAGCTGGGCGAGGAGCTGACCATGACCTACCTGCAAAATCACAGGAATATTACATTTAAGAGTTCTGATACAAATAAGAAAACACAGAAAATTCAAAGTCGTACATGGGAAAAAAATGAAAAACACAAATACCCAAACGAAGACAATCGCAGTCACGCAGGTAAAAAAAAGAAGATTATAGTCTGGACATTCTTGTAACAAAACATATCCATAATCTTAAATTAACTGCGAGTGAAATAGAGAGTTCTGTCATAATTGAAAATCAATACATCAGAATGTATTCAATATTTCAATTATTCATTAATGTGTTCGAATTAGTTAAACAGAGTTTTACAGAGATTCAATTGTCAAATCTTCGCTTCTCTAGTTTTTACGTACATAATCAATGTTACAATTTGTTAACATGGAATCATAAAACTGAAAATGTATGAAAAAATTGAAAAATAAGCCAATAACATCAAAAACCCCATTACATATCGTCATCCATTGTAACGTTTCAAGGTTTAATTTTCAAATCCACTTATAACTACCTAAACATTCTTCTCGTCAAGAAAATTCACGTTCTCGACAATCGAACAAAAACTCGATAATCAAATTTCTCGAAGGTAAAAAAAAATCCACGTAATTCAACACGCATCGTCTTTATATTCAACTCAATTCACGAATCTAACAATATACATCATAAAGATCAACAAAAAATGATACACAAACAAGCATTAACAGGGATGAATAACTAAATAGACGTAAATCTCGAAGGGTATACGGACCTCCAGAACTACGGCCACTGCTTCGGCGAGGCATGATTTCTTCGTGAGATGGATGAAGAATTGTATATGGTAGAGAAAACAGAATAGGCGTGATACAACAAAAACTGTGAGAAGAAACGTATTAATTGGAGGAGCAGATGCGGTGGTATTTATACATAGGGTCGGTGTAACTTGGGGAACAAGATGGCCGACTCAGTTTGATTTGCACAATTTCTCGAATATTCCAGAATATGGGAAATTCAAATAAGGACCCACAAACTTTGGATTCTTGCAAATACGTCCCTATAATTTTAGAATTTTGACATTCAATTCCTTTTCCCCATTCCATCACCTTTTCAAGCAATTACCCCTCAATTACAACCGCCATATATCAAAATCCATGCTCGAATGTTGTAAAATGAAGATTTAGTGTATGGTGACTGAAATTTCATGTCAATAGTAATTTTTAAAAATTATCTTAATAAATTTAGGACTTGTTTGAGCTCCATTAAATTAAAAAATGAATTTTCAAATAGTAGAATGATGGAGAATGTGTGGTTAAAAAATAAGGAAAAAAAATTGAATTCTCGTGTAATACTATTTTATTGAAAAATGTGTAGTTAAAAAGAAGATGGAAAAACGTATTTTTGGGATTGATGAAATTTAAAAAATAAAAATAAACGATAGCTACCAAGGAGACTAACTAATTAAAAAATTATTTTAATAAATTTAATATAACCATAGATTATTCATCATTAAATAAAGTAAAAAAAGTTAATGCCCTCCAAATCTAGATGGGATCTAGTTCACCAAAAGATCCCATCTCATTCCTTTCCGTGTACAAGTTAATTGTACATTTAGGATGCATGCATTGGAAGTGCAAGATCGAAATCTCTCCAAGCAGAAAGTATGGAATGTTGTGTTTTTACATGTTCTGCCATTTAAATCAAAAGGACAGAAAGTATTGAGCCCAAGAGTGGCACAATATGAGCAGAAAGAGGAGCTATGATTTATATTTCTGAGTGAGAATACAAAACTCTTAGGGAGTGTTTGATTGATATTATTGATGAAAAAATGTATTTTAAATAGTGATATGATAGGAATATGCAGTTAAAAAGTAAGGAAACGTTATTGATGTGTTAGAAAATATTATTTTATTGAAAAATATGTGATTGAAAATGAGTTATCAAATAATGTATTTTAGTAAAATGTGTATCAAACAGGGGCTTAATTACCTTCAAATATTACTGGGGGTGTTTGAGCCCCATTATTTTTTAAGAATATATTTTGAAATAATAGATTGAAAGAGAATGTGTGACTAAAAAAGAAAGAAATTTTTTTAATTTGCGTGTAATATTATTTTAATGAAGAAATGTGGTTGAAAAGAAAAGAGATAAAATTGTATTTTGGAAAAAAATGAGAATCAAACATCCCCCAAGTGTAAATATTTATAGGTAAATGATTAAGCTTGAAATGTCTTAGAAACTCAACACATGGTCTCATCTCAATGACTCACATATCAAGCGTCAAAATGTCACACTATAGTCATCTTAAGTTTGCAATATCCCACATACTCCCCCAAGTGTAAAAGACGAAATATGATTTTCAGTCGCCCTTATAGTGTTGTCACATTGATCACCTCATACGTGTTCCAAAAGTGAGGTTGCAGCTATTATATGTGCGATGATGGGTCCTCACTTATTATCATGGATGAAAGATATGACATGTCTGTATAGAATTATTGTTGCCATAAGGCTACCATTGATAAGTTGTTTTATAATGGAGTTATTAGATATCTTTCACTTTTGAATTTGAAAATTCTACTGCACTTATGTGTTTTTTACGATATATTCAGGTATTTTCATAATAGGAGAGTCAACAATGAGAAGATGGAATCAATTAGGAGCAATTCAAGTGTCACCAGTCAAACCAAGGATGCATATTACAGGGGGTATTGGTGCCCCCGCGCCCAACTGGAAGCTTAAAGTGTTTTTCACCCGAAGGCACAGGCGTCCCCACGCCATACCAATAGAAGACCGGCACCCCTGCGCCTGAAACAAGCGCAGCTGCGCCGCGACGATACCAGTCCGCCACATAAGCCCTAAAACTGACGAGTTTAAAGGGGGGACTATAAATACGGCTGAAAAGGTTCAAGTAAAGGACTTTTGGGAGAAACAATCAAGGAACACACCAGAGAGAACACTCTTGGAGATTGAGGAATCCACAAATCAAAGAGTTCTTCTTACTTTCTATCAATATTCTCTATCAATGTTTAAGAATATGAATTGTGTTTTCTTTTATATTTTTATGGAGTAATTTATTTTTCTAGAGATACAATGTAGCCAACACTAGAGATTATGTTTCGATCATTTAATTATCTATTTCAAAGGTTATTTCATTGGTTTATTTGTGTTTATCTACTCTTAATGCTTTTGAATGCTTGATCACCATTTGAATGACATGGAATTTAGGATTTACTACCGAGAGAAGGAATTCTAAATAGGGATTATTGATAAACACAACCTAGGAGATTATAGAGTTCGAGAGGCCTATGAAATCCTTTTTAGCTATTAAGAGAACCAAAGATCTTAATGAACTTTATCATCTTAATTTTAGATAGAAACTCAAAATTAGGGTTTTAAGAGTAATTCTTAATTCACCATCACGTCAGAAGTATTCTCAATGTCTCGAAAGATAATGATTAAAGATACGAGACGGTGTGTCTTCATATTTTCGGAATCGGGAAATAGTGAAGGCAACATGCTCCAACTTAAGTGTCTCATAAAATGCTTATATGAGGTCCCGTAACTTACCACGTAGGCAGAGGCGTAATAATTAAGCATCCTAGAAAATTAAGAATTCTAATTTGTTTCCTTTTTTTATAGGAAATATATTGATAAAAAATCATGTACAAGTACATTGGACATCCCCGAGCAAGTAAAGATCAAGTACAAATACAAGTATATCGGGCATACTAAAGCAATCAATGATGAAAAGCAATGCAAATACACCGAGCAAACCCGTGCAAACAAATGAGAAAATGTACAAATGACCATGATCTAATAACTTGGCTTCAAAGACTCAAAAATGAATTAAATCATACGGATACAAATAAAACAAAACTTTGTATACTTTAATCCGTCTAACAATGCTATCAACTTGCGATTTAAGATCTTCAAAAAAATTCATGTTGCATGCCATCCATAAGTGGTAAACAATGCCAACAAGAGCAATTTCTTAGCCTTACTTTGCCAAGATGTCCCATGGGCCTCCTTTTCAGTCCACTTCAATGCACTCGATAATGTAGACATAGATCGTTTAATGCCATGCCACACACGAACCTTTTCCCAAACGTAAGTACTAAATGGACATGTGAAGAAAAGGCGTTGTTCTGTCTCGATCCCAATTCTACAAAACAACAAGTCTCCAGGTATGTAAGTTTATCCTTTGTAAGCAACTTGGACTTGGCACCAAGCCATAAGATAAAAGCATGCTTCGAGGTGACGGAAGCATTCCAAAAGTAGCTTCCCATGCTGTTTTCTTCCCCTTCAACCTGAAATGTTCATAGGCAACTACAATATTAAATCTGCCTAAGGTTGCCCTTTTCACCAGCCTGCACGCAGCTGCTTGTGTTCGTTCAAGCTGGCTGTCTGCCTGTATCCAACTGCCACCTTGCCTGTGTCTATCTAACTATACCTGTTCATGTTGTGAAATTCGACCACGTAATTCCAGTAACTTTTTGAACAACAAAGAGTCTCCCTTCCTCATCGTGTACTCCTAAACACCCATCCCACGCAAAAAAATCTAATGACACCTAACCTAAAAAGTGTCCCTCTTGCTATGAATGTTCCAAAGGGTTTTAGTAAGAAGTGCCAAGTTCCAATATTTAGTATCCCGAAATACAAGGTTTCCCTCATGTTTCAGCAATCAACCAGTACTCTATGCAACCAGTGGCCTCCTCAATCCCCAGAGGAAATTACGACAAATAGAAACAATCTTAGATGCAACCGTGGCCAGAATACGAATAATGGAAAGTTAAAAACATTCAACACCTAGAAGCACTATCCTGACAAGTTCCACCCTACCAGCATAAGATAAAGTTACCATATACCATGCTCCAACATGGGCCGAAATTTTGTTGATAAAGGAGTCATAAGAATTTACTTTCAATTTTTTCGCCACGAGTTGTATTCCCAAGTAACGAAATGGCATAAAACCCTTTGCCATGTTAGTTAATTGTTGTATGTCATCCAACTCTTGTCCATGAATGCCTGTTGTATACAAGTTAGACTTGTTCACATTCATCCTCAATCTTGACATGTCTCCAAATTTGGACAAGCATTCCATCAAAATACCAATCGAGATAATATCCCCTCTTGTAAATAACATAAAGTCATCCGCAAAAGTTAAGTGTGTAATCTTCAATTGATCACATTTAGGATGATATTTAAACTCACTAACCTCAATAGCTTCCTTGAAAAATATTCAAGGCAAATAACAAACAAATATGGAGATAGTGGGTCGCCTTGATGAAGCCATTTCCTTCTTTTAAAGAATCCATGAAGGCCACCATTAAGCGCATTGGAATAAGTAGGCGTGGTACTGCATTTCATTACCCCATCCGATGATCTTTGTAGTAATCCAAGGCCTTCAAGCACACTTCTAAGAAAATCTCAATTAATCGAATCATATGCCTTCCTAAGGTCAATTTTAAGAAGACATCTAGGAGCAACTCTTTTGCAGTTGTATTGCCTCAAAAGCTCTTGAGTGAGATGAATATTCACCACCATGCTTCTACCTTCCACAAATGTGGCTTGTGCCTGATCAATAATTGAGCCAAGAATAGGACCCAACTGAGATGAAAGGATCTTAGTAATAACCTTATAAAACACATTGCAGCATGCAATATGCCTATAAACGCCAACGAAATTTGAATAATTCGCCTTGAAAACTAAAGCAATGATTGTGTGATTCGTTTGCTTTAAGAGTGAACTAGTATTAAAGAATTCCATGACCGCCTCCATAAAATCTCTACCAATAATTCTCCAAGCCTTC